CCAGGCATGGTGGTGTATGCCTTTGTCCCAGCTACTCAGGAAGCTGAGGGACGAGACTTGCTTGAACCTGGGAGGCAGAGGTTGCAGTGAGCCGATATTGAAGCACTGAACTCTAGTCTGGGCGACACTGCGCGACTCTGCAAGACAACAAAAAAAAAAAAAAAAAAAAAAAATTAGACCCAAAGTCTTCAAAACATGTATAGCCACCATCTGTCTACTTCTATCTATATCTATCTATTTATCATCATCTTTTTTGTACAACATGACTTGGCATCTATCAGAATACAAGCTTTCCTGTTGTGAAATTCTGTAAGAATGTCAAATTTGAACTCATTACTTCTTGAAGTTTATTTAATTTACTAGGCGGTGTTTAATGATCTGCAGTGCATCAAGAAAAAATAGCCTAAATTTTCTCATAGCTAAAAATATATCCAGTCATTAAAATAGATTATTCACAACCAGAAGCTCTCTAAGTGAAGAACTTATCTTTTCTTAGCCATTCAGGCAAACTGAGTGCATTAAACTAAAGCCTCAATGAAAATTTCCACTCCTTCCTTATTCCTCTGATTTCCCTGATGAATCCAGTAGGGCTGGTAAGTTGCTGTGAGAACCTTCTCACGTCCCTGTTCTAAATCTAGAGCTGAGACACTCTAAGGGCCATGCATCATGCTTTCGTGGCTGCTTTCTTGTGTGGTTTTACCATGTGTTCAGAGTGCCTTCATCACAGTTGATTATTTATTGAGTCTGGTGTCTGCTGAAGCTGTCAGACACAGGACTAAACTCAGGAGATATCATCTGAAAAGTTTAACATTTCCTGCAAATGGACTTAGGGTGAGAGACCATTATATGCCACATGACTTGGCTTTTGAATGGCAGCTGATGTGATTGTGATTCCTTCCTTCCATGTGGGTGACAATCACAGAGGACCCCTCCACCATCACTGAGTGAAGCCTTTTGGTCTCAGCAGGCTCCTCACAGCGGCCTTCACGTCCTTGTTCCTTAGGCTGTAGATGATGGGGTTGAGCATGGGGGTCACCACCCCATAGAAAAGAGGGATGAGTTTGTCTGAAAGATCCTCTTTGTCTGCTCCCATGGAGTCCTTAGACTTGGGCTTCCCATACATGAAGAATAAGGTCCCATAGAAGACAATCACCACAGTGAGGTGCGCAGAGCAGGTGGAGAAGGCCTTTCTCCTCCCCTCAGCTGAGGGGATCCTCAGGATGGTGGCGATGATGAAGACATAGGAGAAAGAGATGAACAGAACCGGGACTCCCAGGAAGATCACATTGGTCACCTCCATGCTGATCACATTGATGGAAATGTCAGCACAGGCCAACTTGAGAACAGCCAGAATCTCACAAGTGAAGTGGTTGATGATGTTGTTCCCACAGAAGGGCAGCTGAATTGCCAAGGATGTGTGTACCACGGAAGCAGCACCACCAATAGCCCAGGAGCTGGCAGCCATGGGCACATAGGCAGCCTTGCTCATGATCACAGGGTACCTAAGGGGGTTGCAGATGGCCACATAGCGATCAAACGCCATCACACTCAGGAGCAAGCACTCTGTTCCTGCCATGGCAAAGGAGAGTGCCATCTGCACAGCACAGGCTGAGAAGGAGATGGTTTCCTGGGGAGTCAAAAAGCTGTCCAGGACCAGTGGGACTGAGGAGGTAGTGAAGCAGATGTCCAGGAAGGAAAGGTTCCCCAGGAAGAAGTACATGGGTGTGTGCAGGCGGGAGTCAAGGATGGTCACCAGGATGAGGACCCCGTTGCCCAGCAGGATCACCAGGTACATTAGCAGGATGAGCACGAAGAATGTCTTTTCCAGCTCTGGGTGGGCAGAGAGCCCCAGGAGAGTGAACCCCATCACAGGGGAGGTCTCATTGGCTTTTTCCATGTGATATCCCCTCTGCCATCAGCAAAGTACTGAGCAGCACATCAGGCTTTTTGGAAAGAGTCCTAGGCATCTGATATGTGGTCAAGTTCCACTGCATAATAGAAGAACATACCTGTGCAAGAGAAAAATGATGAAAAGAGACATTAGGGGGTATCTTAGAAGACAGAAGGTCAGAGCTGAACAGGTAGTGGGTGAGGGCCTCAAATGTCCAGTTGTGCCTGAGGGATTTTTCTGATGTTGCTGCACCCTCTCGGTGTCCACAAAGGTAATAGAGGCCTAGGGAGGAGGAGTGATCTGTCCAAATCTTCTGAGCAAGTTGGTGACAGAGACAAGACTTGAACCCAGCAGAGCATATCCCTGGCCCAAGGTGGGTTTTTCCTCTGCATTATGATTAAGTACTAGGAAATGCTATGAATTATTTCTCTTTAATGTAAATCCACAACAATTTCATTTGATCTGGGCTTTCTTAGATTCTCAGAGAGGAAAATTCCCAAGAAGATGCAATTCTTGGACCTAGAAAGTGATAAGTTTCTTTGAACTTTGATTACACGTGGGAGGAAATTGTGCAAAATTGTTCAACTGCATTCACACAGAAACCAGCCTAGTTAATACTCAACCATAAAGAGGATTACTTCTTCAGTCTAGTGACACAGGCTTGAGCATTGACAGAATAGATCTGCCTATTTGAAATATGGATTTATTTCTATACATGGGGAGGTCCTATAGCTGGGAAATTTATGAAGCCAACAAATGGATTTGTTGGAGTGACTGAACTCACAACACTGTGCAGCTTACCAATTAGTTAATGCAATATTAACAACCACACTCTAACTACAGTTAATCGATAGTAGAGTATATGGCGTTAACTTCTGATCCCATCTCATTAGGATGCTTGTGAAATTCCTAACCGTGAATGACTAAGAACGTTTTTCTTTGTCCTTTTATGTTTGCATTTTATTCTTGTGTTATCTTCTGACTCTCTGACTCCATTCTTGAGTTCTATGCAAGCAGTTGGCTTTTAGGAAGACCTATATGCCTTTGTGTAGAGGATATCTAGTCTCTTACTTGCAATTTCCCTGACTCTAAATTCAAAGTACTCATATATAATATTTTGATAGCTCCTTCTTAATGACAGTGGCTCTATGAGTGTGTATAAGAGTGGGTGGATGATGGAAGATGAGTGGTTAATATTAACATTAGTGAGAATCTACCCTGTGCCATATTCCTTGAAACAGCTCATGGAGAAGATATTATCATTCAGGTTTTACAGGTCAAGTAACTGGAGCTCAGAAGATAAATTTGCTCCTTGGGGTTGAATGGCAGAGCTGGAGTTGGATCCCAAGCCCTAGTCCTGATTTCTTTCATGAAACAGCTGCTTTTCTCTTTTGGTGCACAGCTTTGCAAAAGATTCTGTCCCTCCAATATCAGACAGACTTGATAGTCCTATTTATAATTTTCTCTGTGCTAATATTACTATAGCATAATGATAAATTAAAAGGACAAAGTCAAACTTGTACACTGTTATGATCTCAGTCAGCTCTGTGTATTCTCTGGCCAGTCTCACTGTCTGTCCAACACTCTCTTCAGTCATGGGGAGGGTTTATGTCAGATGTGTTGTCAGGCAGTGCAGCTCCCATCCTAAATGGAACTCAGGGTTTTTCAAACTCTTTATGATTGACATTTTGTGCTGGATGATCCTTTGGTGTGAGGGCTGTCCTGTGCATTGTAGGATGTTTAGCAGAGTCTCTGGCCTCCACTGATCAGTTGCCAATAACATCTTCTACCCTGAGTTGTAACAACCAAAATGTTTCCAGATGCTGCCACATGCTTCCAGGGGAAAGAAGGT